CTGGCGCACACACTCCTGTTTTCTTAGCAGAACGAGGGCTGCCAGCCTCACTGCATTTGCTACACAACATTGCAAGGCTTGCATCTCCTGGAGACTCCTGAGGGCAGTGACATCTGTGGTGCTGAGTTCCAGAAGACTGCCCTGGAGAAGCAGCTGAAAGGGGTACAGCTAAATTCCTTCTGATCAAAGGGTTTTAACATGGAGCCCATGGCTGGGCCTCAGGGTGTCTAGGAACCCCCTAATTTATATTTTTGTGTATGTGTACATTTCACTTGGGGACAGGGTCCACTACTGATGATCAACATGCCAGTTTTCCTTTTAATGTCAGACTTACTTCATTTATTCATTAAAGTATCTGAACACTTGCTATGATGTGCCAGGAACTGTCCTAAGCACTGGGGATATATGTCAGTGAAAAAAAAACACACGTAAAAACATACCTACACTTACGGCACATATATCCTAGTGGGAAAAGACAGACAATAAACAGAAATAACTCAGCAACAAGAGCAACTTAGAAGTTGCTAAGTGCCCCAGAGAACAATTAAGGTTACAGGGGAACGGAGTTGAAATTTTGAACAAGGTGTTCAAAGAAGGCATTATTGAAAAGATGACATTTGAACCTGGAGGATGTCGAGGAAGCAAGCTACGCAGGTGACAGGAAGGAGTGCATGCTGGTCAGAGAACAGCGCATGCAAAGGCCCTGAGGCCCCAGAAGTATCCTGAGAGCTAGCTCTTCGAAGTTGCTTCGGCCTGACATTCAAGCAGACAGCAGGGGCTAAGAAACGTCATCACCTTCTGGAAGAGTGGAAGGGCCGAACATCTCAGGTCTAACCATTTTCTCTTCGATGAACCAGCTTGGTTTAGCCGGTCAGGCTGGTTTGCCTGACCAAAGTAGCACACAATAAGGATATCGCTCTGGGCCGGGGACTGATATTATCACTCAAACCTGCTAATAAGCCAACGTGTATACTCTTGGCTCAAATTCCCACGATCATTTTGGTCACTGACCGTTTTCGGTAGATCATAGCCTCTCAATAAAAGATCTTAAAACTCCAAGGGGGAAAGAGAAAGATTATATTATATCAAGAGGGGAAAACTTCACTTTGCCTGTTTTCAGCTAAATTCTTTTTGTTCTAACAAATAGACTCATTTGAAAATATTTTCTATATTTGCAAACCATTGTAAAGAGTTTGGCTCTGGAAACTCATTAGAGAAGAAAATTGGCACAACCTTATTTATATTTAAAAATATATTTGTGGTAAAACATATGACACAAAATTTACCGTTTTAACCATTTTTTAAATGGTATGGCTCAGTGGCATGAAGTCTGTTCATGTTGTTGTGACCATCAGGACAATTTCTAGAACTTTCCATCATCCCATATGGTAACTCTGTACCATTAACTGTAACTGTACAACAATTGCTCACTCCTCCACCCCCAGGCCCCAGGCCCCTGGTAACCACCACTCTTTCTGCTCTGAACTTGACCACTCTAGGTACCTCATGTAAGTAGAATCCTACAATACTTGTCCTTTTGTGTCTGGCTTATTTCACTTAGCATACTGTCTACAAGGTTCATCTATGCTATAGCATGTGTCAGAATTTTCTTTCTTTTTAAGGCTGAAAAATATTCCATTTTGTGTATATAACACGTTTTGTTTATCCATTTGCCCACTGGTGATCATTTGGGTTGCTTCCACCTTTGGGTTATTGTGAATGATGCTGCTGTAACTGTGGGTGTACAAATATTTGCTCCAGTCCCTGCTTTCATTTCTTTTGGGTATACGCCCAGAAGTGGAATTATTGGTCCAAATGATAATTGTTGGTTTTTTTTGAGGAACCGCTGTGCTATTTTTCACAGTAGCTGTGCCATTTTACAATGCCACCAACAGTGCATAAGGGTTCCGATTTTTCCACATCCTCACCAACCATTTTCCATTTTTTTGATAGTAGCCATCCTAACGGGTGCAAAGTGGTCTCCTCGTGGTGCTTGATCTGCATTTCCCTCCGGATTCGTGATCCTGAGCATCATTTCCTTGTGCCTCATGTTTTGAAAGTATCATTCTGGCTAAGGTATCAAGTATTCGCAACTGTGAAGGGCAGGGGACGAAATGTGGAAAAAGGAAGGCCGGTCGGGCTATCGCAGTCGTCCAGGTAAATGATGGTGGCGGCTTGGAATGGAACGATGGCAGCGGAACTGGTCAGAGTTCCTGGCATTCTGGATACACGGAGGCCGGAGCCACTGGACGGAAGGGGAGCGGGAGAAAGGAGCCTAGAATGACTGCTGTGTTCATGGCTAAGCAGGCAGCCTTTTGCCGAGATGGGGCGTGCTGCGGGGAGTGTGCTGGGAAGGTGAGACACCGAGGGCCCCATTTTGGACATGTTACCGTGTTGTGCCATGTATAATGCACACCTACGTTTTTGGCCCAGACTTTCAGGAGAAAAATCTTTCCTTTTAATTCAATTATTTATATTTCGATACTTGTTTTTTGTATTATAAAGGAATTTTAGCATTTATATTTGAACATGTTATGGTACAAGAAACTTAATGAAACAAATAATTACAAAACACAAGAACAGATACAAGGTACAAGAAATTTTATGTACCGGTAACAAATTAGTACTACCCACGTATAATACACATCCTTATTTTTCCCTCAAACACTTGGGCAAAAAAAAAAGTGTGCGTTATACATGGCAAAATACGGTATATTAGGACGCCTATTAGATTTCAAGGTGGAGATGTCAATGTTGACAACAGATACGGAAATTTGGAGATCGAGGGTATTCCCATTACCTTTCGCTGCATAATAAACTACCCCCAAACTTAGAGGCTTGAAACGGCAATGATGTGTTATTCCCCACAATTCTGTGGGACTTCTGCTCAGCTCCGCAGTTGGGCTCTGTGTGGCATCCCACTGGGGTCTCACCTGGCCGCACGCAGCTGATGGCTGGGCTGAGCAGGAAGGCGCAAGGTAGCTTCACTCACACGTCTGACACCGGTGTCCCACATGTGGCCACCCCGTGTGGTTAGCCTGGGCTTCCTCGCACCAGGGGCTCATGGGGAGTCGGGGCCCGGGGGTCAGCTCCCAGTCAGGCACACGATCACAAGAGGAAAAAACCAACAGTCTGCGGTGTGCTGTGCTGCCCAGCGAGTTTTGGATACATGGGCCAAGCATGTCTGAGGTAAGCCAGGCTAGGGCGTGGTATCTGGTAGCTTAGCTGTATTAAATGCGTTTTCCCTGAAGAGTTTTCAGTTTAACGGTGGATTTATTGGGACGTAACCCCGCTGTAGGTGAAGGAGCATCTGTATATACATACACTTCCCTTTTTACACAACAGGAGAGAGACACCCTTTCAGTAGTGTTCTCAGATGTGTGAGGACATACCTTTTCCAGAAATCCGGCAGTCCTCTCCTGGAGTTTCATTTGGGTTGAATTTGGGTATAAAGTGCAATGCGGAACCAATTCCTGTGCTGTCTGAAATACCATGGGCTGACTGGCTGTGGCAAAAGGGAATAAACCCCCTGATGGGTGCGGAGCATGTAAGGGTGTCCTGTAGCCGGGCAGTCATCTGCCCCTGAGCACACTGGCCGTACTGGGGGAGGTGGGAGGGGGAAGGAGGAATTCATGCTGAGTAGGTTACTGAGAACATCCAGTTCTTACTGAGCTGTTGTGAAGATCAAATGGAAACTGTGAGGATGCACTGCCTTTCCTTTTTTAAAAGGTTCTGGGAGGTGGAGATACAGAAGAAAGCTGGGGAGAGAGGATTGGTTGATGAGGGAGGGACGTGAAGAAAGAAATTTGGAGGAAGAGTACCAGAGTTAAATGAGACAGCAGGGGAAGGCGGGGCTGGAGCTGACGTATGCATGTACACAGAACATACCTGCCTGAATTCTCAACAGGAATTAAGAGTAATCTTATTCTGCCCTGGCCGGTGTAGCTCAGAGGGTTGAGTGTGGGCCTGTGAACCAAAGGGTCAGTAGTTCGATTCTTGTGCAGGGCGCATGCCTGGGTTGTGGGCCAGGTCCCCAGTGAGGGGCATGGGAGAGGCAATCCCACATTAACGTTTCTCCCCATCTCCTTCCCTTTCCCTCTCTGTAAAAATAAATAAATATTTTTTAAAAAAGATAGAAAACACCCCCCACCCCCCAAAAAGTCTTATTCTGATGTCTTATAAGCTCCTCTTCCCCAAGAGCTGATTAAGGCCCTAACTGGTTCATCTCTATACCTGCCTACACTCCAAAATGTTCAATAGCTCCCAGCAAAGGGCCTGGCTGAACACACCTGCCTCACCCTGGAATTCAGGACTCTTCAGAACGTGAGTCCAGCTTACCTTCGGCTTCATTTCTAACGATTGCCCCATATACATCTCTCCAAATCTACTCCTGCACGTCCAGCCAACTGGGACTTCTGGTCGCTGCACACCGGCCCCTACACCTGCCCTCCTCCCTGCCTGCTGTGCAGGCTTTTCCTTTGAGGAGGAGACATCGTCTCATCGTGAAGGCCAGTTTCAGATGCTTGTCCTCCTCCACTGGTCCTCGAGGCTCCGGGACTCGTCCTGTCCGCAATAAGTGGCGCCCAGCATTAGTTGCGTGCCTGTCTAGATGGTCAGACTCTTGAGGACAGTGAAGGTCTCCTCCTCCATCCATTCTTTATTTGCCCGTTAAAAAAACTCCCAGCATCTACTGCACACTAGTGCACACAGAAGTGGGTAAGAAAAGCACTCAGTAAATATTGGCTGAGCTTAATGCTGTTGAAACGGGACTTGTGTTGGCTGACGGGATTCGGCAGTGGGGGTGACCTGTACTAATGAGCTGATATCCTCTGTTCTTCTGTTCTGTGTAACTGTGTTTCCAAAGCCCTGTCTCAGTGGGCCTTAAACTCATACAAAGGTGGCGTTCCAACCACCAAAGCAAAGCGAAGAATTGAGACAACTTAATGAGACAGCTTACAGATTGTTGAGGAAAAAAAATATCTGCTTTTGAAATTGTGTCACTTCAGTTTTTATTCCAGAATCGTACAAAGCACTATCACCTGTATTATTTACCAGTGGCTTTCAAAACTTTATTACCATGAGACACAGGGGAAAAAAACCGTTATATCACCATCCAGGTTATAAATACTCATTCCTTCCTTCCTTCCATAAGTAGGTGCTGACCTTCTACTAAAATAGGAATAACCAGAGAGGGAGGAAGAGAGAGAGGAAGAGAGGAAGAGAAGGGAGGGAGAGAAGGAGGGAAACAAAAATCCCTGCCTTCCGAGACCGCACTGGTGGAAGACACAATAAACAAATAAGTAAAACACATATACACACAGGAACAGGTTCATGGAACGAAGCCTCCCATCACCACATGCTGTGTCTCTCCAGTGAAGGAGTGTCCCGTTCTTACATTACAGGTGGGATGGAGTGACACGGAAAGAGAGGTTAAGCAAGCGAGTGAAGCAAATTCACCCACAATCCAAGGGAAGCAATAATGAAACTTCACCTCAGGGCTTCTGAGCCCACTGCTGCCCTTTCCGGCATCCTCCGGCATCCTCTGCGGTCCGCTCCGTGTCTTAGCTCCTACTGCTGTTTGGTTAGGAAATCCTCAGCTCTGCCTGGAGCAGCTCCTCCCTCCCTTGCCAGGTGAGGCCATGCCGATACCTCCAGGCCTGTCTGGACTGCCTCGTGCTCCGCGGTGCCTCTCCCACATCCCTCACTGCGATCTGGCTTCCTTGGCCACCACTGCTGCGCCACAGTAGGCCCCTCTCCACTGTGACCTCCTTAAGGAGCGGGTGTCACTCACCGTTTCCCCCCAAAGCACAGTGTTTTACCGAGCAGCTATTCATCAATACACAAGGAACAGAAGTGAAGTTGAAAGTGATTTGGGTGGGAGGAGCCAGGACTGCAGATTTAGGCAGCATCTATTGAAAAGGCGAAGATACTAGAAAAGATATCACTGGAAAAAAGATCTCTTTCACCTAAATTATAAAAGTCACACATTAGTTAGAGGCTTTGAGAGTATAAAAACCACAATCCCAATTTCCTATCTGCCTAGCATCAAGTAGATAGATTTAGAACCACAGATTTGGGTCATGTGTCACAAAGAACAGAAACTTAGTCAAGTTAATTCAAGAAAATGAGGCCCACCACAAAGAAGCTGCAGGGACCTGGGGCAGGACGGAGCCGGGGGCCCCCCGGGCAGCTCCTCAGCGGCGGGAGTGAGGGCACCTTTGCTGTGACGGCGACCATGGCAGTGGGGACAGCTGCCGACTCACCGGATGAAGAAAATCAGTTCAGAACCTCAAGAGGAAACCTAAATGGCACAGCCAAGTCTAGAGCTGTCTGCTCCTGCTGCAGTTTGGGTGAGACGGGGCTAGGTGGCTGGTGCGCATGTCTAGGGAGGGACGGAGAAGAAACTTTCTGAAAAGGGACATGAACTTTGAGTAAATATTAACCCTGACTGGGATTTTAAGTTTAAGTTTGATCCTCCACTACAGAAGATGGGGACTCAAGGCCAAGGTGAGGTCAGTTATAAGCAGTTATATAAATAAAATTCTGTATCTGTGATATAGTATAAAGTATAATTTGAATCATATTAAAAGTAAAGTAAAGGAGATTTTAGCTAAATGACCTCTAAGTTTCAGGGACATGCACATTATGAATTTATAAACTTACAGGACCCAACAGAAGTAACACCGGAGTGTGGTTGGCAGGGTAATGATATGGGTGTAATCATTTATGGTTTTAATTTGAACATTGAACATTTCACCTAAAATGTCATATGGTGTGCTTGAGTGTGATATTGTTATATTAGAGAATTGCATGCTTATGATTTTGTAATAAAAGAGTCTGTAGTAAAAAAGGGGACATTATTTGCGCTAGACCCTGTATATCATGAAAATTGAATTCTCTAACCCATGGTTTTCAGACTTTATTTTGAATCAAGAGATTCTGGTCCTGTAGGGTAGGGAAGGCAGTGGGGATATTTAAATAAGCACTCCAGATTCTGTTTAAGATGTATCATGTTGAGAAACTGCTTAACCTACCTCCTTCCCCTTAGAGTAATTAAAAAGGGGCTCAACTGCCATGTTTTTTAATTAGAATAAAAATGGACAGGAAAACCATGCAGGCACACCATTCATGTAGTAACACAAAATAAGAGCATGCATAAAATTTAAAACCACATTTCATATCATTGTTTTTAATAGCATTTAGTCACCTAATTTATAGTGGCATATTGGTTTATAAATGATGTGTCAGAGTGACTAGTACCTTAGTCTTGGATTTTCTTTTAAAGTTGAGAACAAGGAAACTAGTTATGAGTTAAAGAGTATTATTTCAGGATGACGTGTTGACTATAAACTCAAAAGGTACACAGATATCAATTCTATAAACAGCAAATATGAATGTAACTTATTTAAGCCTTTTGGTTCACATGTTTAAAAGCACCCTCATTTCTTTAAGCTAAGTACTATTAATGGTTCTTAAAAGTCTATTGTGGACATGATGTACTCAGTCCAAGTAGTTGGGAGCTGGGGGAGTGAGTTTATGTGACCATCTAATTCAGAGTTTGATTTAGCCCTAAAGTCAACCTGCATTACAAATAAGTTACAGTCACGGGTAGCAGAATCAGTCTTCAGATACAGCTTCCAAAGCTCTCATCATCCTGGTTCCCCCTCTTTTCCGTTCATTTGCACATACCTTTCTTTTAAAGGAGCAAAATATATACGTTCACCGAAATTCTGAAAGTCACCGCTTGTATAGCACTGAACAATAGTAGCTTTGGCATTTGATGTTACAAAGTCAGTTTCATTACAAATAATTTCTTCATTCTGGGTCCAGGCGAGGTAAAACAGGAAGAATAAGATTCCCAAATGCGGAGTCTTGAGTTATGAAGTATCCAGACGAATGTGCATGTGCATGCTGGGAAAGGGTTTTAAAAAGAACAGCAATTAAGCTATTAAGACTCATAATTCTTCAACAAAGACATTAAAATTACTTATCCTTTCTGAGTACTTGAGATCAAATTTATTTTTAAATCAGTTCTTGTGCTAATTTTGTTTAAATACACAGGAGATGGACAATAATGAAGAATTCACATCAACAGGTTGCACCAGGTATTCCTGGTGCACCTTCTCCCCAGTGATCCCAGTCAAAAACACAAATTATGTACTTTGACCCTTGGAGTGGGGGAAGCTAGCAAGAACGGTCCCAAAGCACTCTGCTTTTGACCAACAAGTCAGGAGCCTGAGAAGGAAGGCAGCAATTGGAAGGAGACGAAGAAAAAGGCAGCTGAATGTTGGAATGTAAATAACAGAACACCACCAGCGACTTCCTCTGTCACTAAAGACAGGGGGACTGTGTTCAGGTTGTCTAAAATGAGATGATCTTTAATATCTTTTCTAATTCTGAGATCCTAAGGTTTAAAAGCATAGATAACCGTGTCTCTGGGAAGCTTAAATTATCTACGATCAGTAAAATACTAAAACTGTTTATTATCATGAAGAAAATAGGTTTTTTTAACTGACGAATTATCACATTCCTACGGAAAAAGTTAGTCTTGAAACATTTCCTGCACAACAGCCACGCAGACCATTAGAGAATCCACACAACAGTGAACCAGCAAGACTATCAAAGGATATAATGGCATGACAAATTTGAAAATACCTACCTAACAGACACCCTCACCACTGTTAAACCAGCCAGTTCAGCTTTGAAAATTGTTCTGTCCATCCAGACATGCTAAATGCCTAGGCACAAGCACTCCCTTGCCGGGGACAGCACAGAATCAATCAGGGCCGTGTCAACACCGTAAAAGATATTTTCATTACCGCTATATTGGTCCTTCGAATCCTCTGGGCACCACTGAACATCAGCAAACCACTGCAATTATGTGTGGAACATTTTTATTGGTATTGCTCCACTGAAATACATACAGAATGGGAACTGTGCTGGCTTCCAGGGAGACCGGCGTCTCCAGGGAGACGAGAGTGTCAGCCGCCCTCCGCTCACCTGCAAAGCCGCCTTCTGCTGGGCCGCGATGTGCTGCTGCTCCGCGTGGTCCCGGAAGTCCTTGTTCAGGGCGGGTCTCGAAAGTGCGATGCTAAAAAGGGGAGCTTAGTTACTCGGCTGTTGAAGGTACACGCCTCCTTAATTCTGAATCACATTTTTCATTATCTAATATATAGGGGTAAAAAAAGACCTTCCAGAATGCATTTCACCTTTTCCCGCTGTCTACATTAATGTACACGAAGAGAGCCTGTGTTATTTACTGGGGCTCCCAATGATCTCCTTTTTATTGATGATTTATGCTCCCCCGCTTTCAAACAGACCTGAGGTGCTCCAGTCTATCGTAAAGCCACATTTATGATGAAAAATGAAGAGCTGAATGTCCCAAACAGGAGGTACAGAATGCAGGGCAGAGGAACTTGACGTGCCTGAGGAAGTCAAGAGTTCAGTAGGACTGGAGGTCGGGGTTGGGCAGGGGCGAAGTGGGTTGGCAAAAAATGAGGCGGGGGAGGAAGGCAGGTGCCAGGATATGAAGTGAGATAAGAAAGGAGGCTTCTGAGGGACGTCACAAGCAGAGGAGTGACAGACCAGAAGCACCACATGACGGATGGGAAAGCCCACAGCGATGGCAGACAGGGCCGGTCTCCTCAGCAACTGTGCATCTCTCTTCTGTGCGAATGGAAAACCCACGCTTAGTTCAGTCAGCAACGGTGCCACGCTTCGGGCTGGCCCGGCTCCTGCCTCCGGGGCGAACTTCGGTGTAAAAAATGCCATAATCCTTGCTGGTTTCTGGCTTAGGCAAGAAAAAGGTCCCTGATTCTAAGCAACTAGGTTTGATGGGTAGCCGGTTGCAAGGCTTCTGAGAATAGTTTCCTCACTTTTGAAAAAGGAACGCAGGATAGGGACCTCGAGGTTTTTGCCTCTGTAGGCGGCTCAGCGCGGAGGGGAGGCCTAGGGCACGCAGTCCCATCGCGACCATTAGGGAGCTGCTGACCCGTGCGGAAGGCAGAAAGGAGAGCCGGGAGGACGTAGCCGGTCACTGCTGACACGGCTGTGCCATTGCAGCGGGCTGCACCCTCTCTTCAACCTCCCGCTTAACACGTGCCCCAACCTTTAGGGCGACCCTGCTGGTTTCCTGAGAGACTACAGGGAAGTTCAGTGAGGAAGCAGGTGTGGTGACTGAGCACAGAAATGGCGGTGCCAGGACCCGGGCAATGAAGAGAAATGGACAGATCTGAGACACGTTTTAATGTGTAAACGTAAGAGAAGGGTTAAGTGCCTGGAGATGAAAAGTGAAAGGGAATGATAAACAAATTCAAGTTCACATTTCTGACTTTGATAACTGGTAGATCCGTACCACTTGCTGAGACAAGAAGCCAAAGAACATTGAGTAACTAGTTAAAGAGAGGGAAGGGAGATGAGTTCAGTTTGGGGAACACAGGGTTTGAAAGGCCTGTGGCCCACCGAAGTGGGTGTGTCCAAGAGGCAGCCGGGTGCTGGGGGGAGAGAGGTGGGCTAAAGGGGCGAATGTGCGAAGGTTATCTACACGTAACTACCAGGCTGTGAAAGTGGATGCAACTCTCCAGGGAAAGATGTAGACTGGGAGACTGGGTCTAGAACAGAACTCTGAGGAACATTAACATTTAAGAGAAAGAGGCAGCGGAGAAATGTTTGCTAAAGAAAGCAAGGTGGCGGAGTGACAGTGAATGGAAGCCAAGGAAAGAGTACTTTAAGGGGAGAGTGATCGGTGCTGACGGGTGACTGTAAGGTCTCTAACAAGAAAACGACTTTGCTCTACCAGTTTTAGCCACTAGGAGGGTGCAAGTGCACTAGGCTCAGGCCTATTGTGGGTGGGGGGAGGGAGACCCCTGGCTGTCAGACTGTAGTGGCCTGAGGAGTGAGTGAGAAAGTAGAGGTGAGGATAAGGTGGTGGGTGGATGGGACAATGAACCTGAGGGAAGAGAGGTGAGATGACAGAAACAGAATACTGTACAATAAAGATCATTAAGCTGCCTCAATTCACCTACTTTGCAGAATGCTTAAAGATGGGACAGTGGAGTAAGTTCAGTAATAAATAAAAATCATACAAGACCCCCCCTTTTTAAAAAGTAGGCTGTAAAATATTCTAGGGAATAGGGAAAGTAAAATATTCTAATTAGAATTAAAATGTTTAAAATTTAGTCAAATAAATTGTCTAATTTTTTTCAAATCTAACTAGGAATCGAAACAACGTAAATTCCAATGATAAAGAAACAAACCACTGCCAACCAACTGCAATTATTCTGTCCAAGGTATTTTTTATATGACTGAACATAAAAACCCCATTATTCTTTAATACCTAGCTCCAGGATGATTTGTTGAAGATTGGTTCTGCATTAGTAGTTTTCTTTTCTCTTTGTCCAGTTCGGCCAAGATTGCAACTCTATTTTTGTTCTGAAAACCTAAAGAAGAAAGGAGGGTTGGGAGAGGAGAAAGAGAAATAAAAAAACACTTCAGAGCTAGTTTATAAACCTAGGCCATGTAGAAACCCAGAGAGCACAATCCTCTTCTCTTAGCACGCCGGTGAACTCACTCACGGGCAGGGAGTTTCTTCAGATGGCTACTGTGTCCTCCTGCCTGTTTCCGGGCAACTTGAACAGCACAACACGTGGATACATGCAAAGTGTAACAATGGCGGAGGGCTTAAAGACTCAGTTCCAAATAATTTTAACCACCAAGGGATGGGTGACAGCATTTGTTTTTTAACAAAATCTCTGAGGCCCCAAATGCTGCAAGGACCAACCTGCCCTGCTCAGTCCAGCCCTGGCAGTGGAGGTTTTCTCAGTTCCCAGATTTAGGCCCCTTCGTGAAGGCCTCTTTCAAGGAGGGAAAAAGCATTAGACATACTCAGATCAAAACGGTATTTATTTCTTTTTCTCAACTGCTTTCATTCCAAATGACACAACCTCTGAGGGAACAAATCAAAGAACTGCAACTGACTGAAAAGCAATTCTGAGAAAGAAATGGAGCGTAACTGACAGGGTCCGAAAAGGTGTGTGCTTTACCAACACCTAATACCGGGCTTGGCTCTGAGCTCCAAACTTACCGAAGATTTAGAGAAGAAGCTGCAAAGTCTTGGCCTAGAAGCAGTATTCAAAATGTTTTAAAAATCCGAATTAAATGCCAACGTGCAAACACTGAGAGAGTACATACAAAACATATACACTGAGGTCTGCAGCATTCTCAGCTAAGTCTCATGCCATCCCACTCTGTCCCTCCCAGGACGCGAATCATTCCTTTGTGCAGGGCCCTCATGCTCTGCACGCAGTAAGATGTTTTGAGAGAGAGAGAACACAGTCACACAGCTTTTATTACAGTGTATCGTTATAGCTGTTCTGTTATCAGTTATCACGTTAATGTCTTACTGTACCTAATTTATAAGGTGAACTTCATCATAGGTATTATGTATAGGAAAAACATGTCATATACCTAGGACTCAGTACTACCTGAGGTTTCAGGCACCCAGGGGGTCTTGGAACGTGTCCCCCACAAAGAAGGGGGGACTACTGTATTTTACAAACCACAGTGTTAGGCCTTTACTTCAACTAACACCGAAGCAACTGATGAACAATTCCCTTCATTTCATCACGGCAATCTGTCAAAGGGTTTGAAAATCAGGTGCTATACAAATAAAGGCAACAAAAAAAATAGTTTCAATGATGAAATAATGTCTTACATATCTAGACCTCTAAGAAGGGGGACCATCACAAACCATAAACATCAACTCATGTTTATACAATTAGGAGTATTATGTAAACATGACAACCAGTGTAAGGGAACTTTTATTTTATGTATTAAATTTATTAAATTGCCTATTATCTGACCATTTTCTGCCTACAAAACTAACAATTGCATATAATTCACCAACTTTTTAAAAATTTAAATCACATGCCCTTCTCGGCTTGGTTAAGAAGGAACAGCCTCCTAAAAAAACCCATGCACGTTTGACAATCAGAGCACAAGGCAGCTTGCAGTCACTCCCTGCTGCCGTGAAAATTAGTGTGAAAAGTAGTAACTATAGGCTCTAAATTAATATATGACTTCTAAAGTAACACAGTTTCTGACTGCCAATGCTCTTAGTCTGCTAAGGAAGGCTATGCTATTGTCAATCTACTTACTACCTAGTGGTTGGCCGGTTATCCCAACAAATAAATGACTATAAATGATCTGATAATATATTAGGTGGGAAATTTAGAATATGGGTATTACTGATTTTATACCATAGAAAGTTCCCTAAAAGAGATGTAATACAAATTAAGGAAATATTACTATGGAAGGATAGGTATATTCCGGACTATATTATTTAAAGGAATCCAAAAGTGAATCCTTTGTAGAGTGGAAAATGCTTCGCAAGGGAAGCTGGTACTCTCCCCTTTGTATATAGGATGTTGTAAATATTTAAGGCAAACACACCACTAGCTACATTTTCAACTATAGGACAAGACTTTTTCCCTTTTTTCAGAAGAGGCTTATGCATTTTCAGAGGGGAATTATGTAATTACACCTTTTTAGAGATTTAGAGATACTATAAATATAAAATAGAAAATTCTTTTTTTTATTAATATTTTATTTATTTATTTTTTTAGAGAGGGAATGGAGGGAGAAAAAGAGAGAGAGAGAAACATCAATGTGCGGTTGCTGGGGGCCATGGCCTGCAACCCAGGCATGTGTCCTGGCTGGGAATCAAACCTGCGACACTTTGTTTCGCAGCCTGAGCTCAATCCACTGAGCTATGCCAGCCAGGGGTAAAATAGAAAATTCTTGAAAAGCAAATTAAAAAATCTGAGAATGTCTAAATTATATGATAAGCAAAAAAAGGTCACCACATTGGAAAGGACTGAAGTGCCGTTTACAGAAATATAGATTCCCTCAAGATTAATTTGTTCACAAGAAAACACTTTAGTCCTGACCAGTGTGGCTCATTTGGTTGGAGCGTCATCTGTAAACCAAAGGGTCATGGGTTCGATTCCAGGTCTGGGCACATACCTAGGATGAGGATTTGGTCCCCAGTTGGGGTGCATGCAAGAGGCAAATGATCGGTGTTTCTCTCTCACATCTATGTTTCTTTCCCTCTCTGTCTCCCTCCTGCCCTTCCCCTCTCTCTAAAATCAATAAGCATGTCCTTAGGTGAGAATATAAAAAAAAAAGAAAATGTTTCATACTATCCTCCACTAAAAGGAGCCAAGGTTCTCAGAGAGTACTAGTTCCCTGTCTTAGAGCAGGAAAATAATCAAGATAGGCCTGGAATTATCTTATCAGAAAGTAAGATTTTTTTGGTAATGGCTCAGGATAGTGCTCGAAGATCAAAGCAGCCAGTTTGAGATTAGCCAGGCTGTCACAAATGGAACACTAAAGAGAATAATTATAGCTAAATGGAACAGATTGAATCTATGATAAACTATAAATTCATAAAATACAAAAAGGAAAGTGAAAGTACATAAAAAAAAGACAGTTGTAAAAAAAGGGTGAAAATAATAGTTACTATGTTAATAATTAAGTAAACATTTAGGTGTTTTGTTTCCCCTAATAAGTATATGTCCGTTAATAAAGTAGAGCTGTGGCCTTTTTTGTTTAGGTGCAGGAGGAACTGGTGGACACAGGGAACTGTAGCTAAGTCAAAAAGCTCCAGAAAAGCAAGTTGTGCATCACTGGGACAAAGCCTTGATCCAGAGGCAGCATACCTTAGTATAAGCCTGAGGGGTAAATCTGCTCTCCTTCTGGACCACAGGTGGTTCAGGTAAGACTTCTGCTGGGTCTGGGAGGTTCAAGCAAGACAACCTCCCAGGGGCTCTGCCACCCACTCCCTACACAGCCCCTGGAATCGCAACTAAGAGCATCCAGAGTGGCCCCAGATCTACCTTCCCACCACTTGATCTGCAGGGTTTATAGTTCTTCTACAAGCATTCTGAGATAAGTATAAAATAATCAGAGAAGAATTCATGCGCCTCACTCAGAATTTCACCAGGTTTCTCTGTGTATCTGAAATTGGGTTAGACCAACCCAGCTGCCACCACGAGACCACAGGACTTTAATGTCACCAAGAATGAGAGACTCTTAACATAGGAATGGTACTTGGGACAAATTCCAGTTTGACAATCTACCTTTACATACTGAAATTCTCAAAATGTTACTTCAATCAAATAAGTTTCTATACTATAGCGGCTACTAAGAATATGGGACTTCAGTAACTGTCCGCCAAGAGCTTATGAAATTCAGCAGTCCTGATTACTACTGCAGCATGACAGAGGACTAGATCGGAAAGAGGGCTTAGTGAACATGATGGGATCCTGTTCTCTGTGCCACAGACATTAATATAATGCATGGGTCAAGACTTTTTTCTTAGTCATTGTTCTTTCAGTTATCACTGTAAGATAATGATGGCACCTGACATTCAGTCTCCAAAATAAGTTGTCCCTGTATACATAAACAGTGCAGAGATAATTTGATATAGAGAGTAAAATGCCATACATACAAATAACAATTTACAATTTTCATTGCAGAGTATGGGAGTCTCTAGAACGTGCTACTGACTCCCTCTGCTGGTGGCTAGCTGCAGCAGCTCCAGGACACCAACGAACTGACAAAAGAGTAGTAACAAAAGCCAAAGTGGCTTTGACTGTTTCACAGTGGGTCTGACTAGGGATCAAAGGCAACACTGAAAATAACTGCATTTTATTGCAACTGCTAAAAAAAGAGTAACTAGGTAAACTTCATTTGTGTTAGAATGAAGAGATAATTTAAAATTTTATTTTCACTTGGACTGCGGTGTGATTTTTAGCAGCGTGATATTTTCTTTTCAAAATAGACTTCTCTTAGTTTTCCTTCTAGTGTAAATTATTTTTCATCTGAGTCCCTATAACTTGGGGAAAAAGAGGTCAAAGACCATGGGGGAACGCTGATCTGTGCTTCGAGAGAACAGAACAGGGAGCCAGGCAATAAACAGCAGCTGGAAGCTGACAAGCACGGGCAGATTCAGCTGCTGCCCAGCACACGGGAGGCAAGAATCTGAGCTGAGCTGAGCTGAGCCCAGCTGACTGCTAGAAGAGAAATCACATTTCAGGGGAAAACAACCACATCCAGAGCCACTATGATGTATTAGAATACCGAGCATCCAATAACGAATCACCGAGTATGGTAAGAAAGAGGCGATGGTGACCCATACTAAAAAACAAAGTGCAGTCAACAGAAACCAGCTCCAAGATGAATCAGATACAGATAATGCAATTAGCAGTGACAAAGAACCTGTATCCAGACTCTAAATAACCTTTAAAATAAACAGCCCAGTTTTTTCAAAAACAAGCAAAGATGCGACAAACACTTCACAGCACAAGAGATTTACAGTGGCCAATGAGTACGTTAAGAAGCTGCTCAACATCTGTCATCGGGGAAATGCAAGCTAATACTACAATGAGATATCACCTCACACCCCGGAAAACGGCTCCAAAAAGAAGGCAGCCAGTGCCGTGTGTGGAGCAGCCAGAATTCCCCCAGTTTGCTGGAGGGCATGGAAACGGCACAACCACTTTGGAAAACGGACTGCAGTTTTCATAAGGTTTACTATACACTGTGCTGCCCCATCCCTAGAAATTTATCCAAATAGCTACAAAAGGGCTTACAGCAAATATTCAAAGCAGCTTTACTCACACTGACCCCAATGGAGACAACCCCAAAGCCTCCCCACAGGAGAACGAATAAATGAATTGGGGTAAAATCACAGAGCAGAATTCCCCACTAGAAAGAAAGGCACGACTGGAGCACGTGGCCCAACATGGGTCAATGGCACAGACAGCAGAGGGAGTGCAAGAGGCCGGACACAGACGAGTGCACACTTTATGGTTCCACGTATATGAAGTTTAAGATAAGATGAAACGAAGACTTTTTAAAAAATCAGAAAAGATCAGAACAGAGATGAGTAATAAAAAATATGGTGAGTTAAATAGGAGTTGGCTTTAAGTTTTCAGGTAGGAAACGACTTACAAAGTAGAACTTAATACTTTATAGAGATTAAATTTCACCTTTTAAAGCTTACATTTAAGTAAAAATGTCTTTAGGATGTGTCTAACTTGATTTGTTTTAGAGAGCTAGAGCAACACCGGTGAAACGTGTATGAAAGTTTCAGAGCAAATGAAGGCACAGGTATGGATTTAGCTTAGTGACATTATAACTGCTTTGAAAACGTTCTGATTTCAAGTACAAGAGCAAGAGAAAACAGATTTTAGAGGAGGGCCTAAGGTTTATGATGTGAATAATCTTAACATATTAAAATAGAAGATTAATAGCTATTAAAGATGTTATATATCTGATACAATGTCGGACTTGCTTCAAGTATGGGGTTTTACTTTGCTGTTCACTTTTTATTCTGGCTACAGTAACTGCCTAGTGCTAATTTTCTATTAAAATACACTTACTGTATGAGGAAAAAGTCCCTACTAATACAGTCAATTCCAGCATGCCATTACCTTGTCCTGACGAGTTTGCTGCCATCTTCCTATTTCCGTTTTAACCGTTCACTGGCAATTGCTCCACGCTTTACAATCACCTGTGAAAATGTGTACATCCATGAAAAAATGCATCATACTTTAGTGACAAATTAGAAGTTCTCAGGAACAGCTAGCCTTCCTACTATGAAACGTTTGCACTTGCTTCATCTCTTCAGAAACATCTTTTGAAAAGAACACAGACTTAAATCACAAACTCTGCAAGTATTTAATTAGAGGCAAATGTTTATTCTTGCAGATGTTGGTGAAACATTTGGCATTACTGTCTTTAATATAGCATTAGACTGTTTACCGAATACTACCACATGCATCAGTCGATAACATCAATATGATCACAGTGTTAGGAAGAAAAATCATTCATCTATGGTGCCTTTTGATTTACTTAAAAAATGTACCCAGTATATAAAAAACTCATCTGACTCAACACCAGGAAGACTAACAACCCAATTAAAAAATGGGCAAAGGACTTGAACAGACACTTCTCCAAGGAGGACACACAGAGGATCCAGAGACACATGAAAAGATGCTCAGCATCGCTAGCCATCAGAGAGATGCAGATTAAAACCACAGTGAGATACCACTTCACATCAGTCAGAATGGCCATCATAAACAAATCAACAAACAAACAGTGTTGGAGAGGATGTGGAGTAAAGGGATCCCTAGTGCACTGTTGGTGGGAATGCAGACTGGTGCAGCCACTGTGGAAAACAGTGTGGAATTTCCTCAGAAAACTGAAAATGGAACTACTTTTTGCCCCAGCAGTTCCACTGCTGGGACTATATCCTAAGAACCCTGAAACACCAATCCAAAAGAACCTATGTACCCCAATGTTCATAGCAGCACAATTTACAATAGCCAAGTGCTGGAAGCAACCTAAGTGCCCATCAGTAAATGAGTGGATGAAAAAACTGTGGTACATTTACACAATGGAATTCTATGCAGCAGAGAGAAAGAAGGAGCTCCTACCCTTCCTGACAGCATGGAGGGATCTGGAGAGCATTATGCTAAATGCAATGAGGCAGTTGTTGAAAGACAAAGACCATATGATCTCACCTATAGGAGGAATCTAATGAACAAAATAAACTAACAAGCAAAATAGAACCACAGGCATGGAAACGTGGAACAAACTGACAGCGACCCGCGGGGCGGGGAGGGAAGGGGATAATGGTGGGTAGGAGGGGAAAGGACTAGACAAAGAACACGTATGAATGACCCACTGGCATGGACAACGGTGTGGAGGTTGACTGTGGGAGTGGGGGATGAGCTGGGCAGGGGAGGGCAAAGGTGGAAAAACTGGGACCACTGTAATAAAATAACAATAAAAGTTTTAAAAAAATGGAAAAAGAAACACACCCAGCAAAAATTGTGCACACTGAAAGCTAAAAAGGAAACGAAGGGAGATCCCAAATAAGTAACACCCTTGTCCTGCCCTCTGGGAACGTAATAGGTGGGAAAACATAGTCTCATGGAAACAACCCCACTAAAAAAGTTTAACGCGCTCTTTAAGAGGCGTAAACACAACTCTGGAAGCAGACAGGAGCAGGTTCTCCTGGCGTGGAGAGGGAGGCCTTCAGGGGAGCCGGGGAAAGCCCTGGGACTAGCAAACTGACGTCGGTTTTGAACCCACTGTGGTCAGGCATCTCTTATAGCTGAAGCTCGGAGCTAGCGAAGCCCGGCTGTGAGGGCGCTTCGGATGAAGGTCAACGTCAGTGAGGGACGTGATGGGGCTCGACCTGCTCCGCAGAAGGGTCAACGCAGGCAGGCGTGGATGGCAGGCGGGGCTGGGGCTGCGGCCGAGAGGAGGGAGCGGTGAGAAACTTTGGGAAGCGATGAAGGCTGAGAGGCCAATGACCAGTGGCAACAGAGACAACGGCAGCAGGTCAGCACTGGAGCCACACTCCTCTGTGCCCCGGCGCCGCCAAGCGGCCCTACTTACCGGGTGTACGCGTGCGCGCCCGGGAGTGCCCCACCGTCCGATCGCGCTCTCCGAGGGGGCGCGACCACTTAAAGACCGGCAAACCTCGCCCAACGTGCCGCTCTACAACCTTCCCGCCCCCGCGGCACTTCCGCCTTCTATGACGTAACCCGAGGCAGCGGAAGTCCCGCCTCCTACCCGAATCAAACAGCCGCTGCCCTCGACGATTCGTATTTTACTGCCGCCTCAGGGCAGAGGCCAGTTTCCTTCCGAAGAGTGACAGCCAAAGAGGCTCATGGGAGATGCAGGCTGCACTTTGAGGGCGGTGCCCGAGTGGGCGGGGCGCAATGACGTATCCTGCTGGCTCTGCAAGGTAGGGGCGGGGCGGAGACCGACTGGGTCCCTAGCACCTTGTAATGTCCCTTTCCTTGAGGTCACACTGGCTGGAGAGAAGACACCACCAGGCTGATTGATTCAGCGACGGCGTGTATACTCAGACTGGAACTGAGTCGCAGCTGCTGCCTGAATTCGGAGGGCGCGTCTTCACAGGGTGGGCTTGCTTTCAAACTATAACACCTCCCTCAGGTTGCAGGTCCGCACACACAAATCCCAGGATTATTTTTCTTTTCTATAGTTTGCATAATTATACACATAAGAAAAGCGCTAAACATGGAGACCTTTTTAGTACTGTTTAATAACTTGTATTTAAGAAATGGGTGTGCTACATCTCAGAACCCTAAGTCGCTCCTAGTGGGGTCTCACCTGATACCTGATTCCAGCGCACTAGATCCGTACATTTCCATTAAAAGCTCATCTTACGTTGATGTATATCGCATGTTCTGTGGTCGTTAATCTGTTACGCATCTTTTCTAGAATATGTTCCTAATAATCGATATTTTCTCAACAGTAGATGTTTAGGATGTGCCCTGTTGTGGTTCGTGGTTTCCTGACTAAAGCAGTGACACTACCAGCATTTATTGAATGCCTTCTGTGTGTCACCTAGGTGCTCCCTGTGTATCACCGCCAGGCTTCTCATACCTGATTTGTATGAAGCCAAGAAATGTTGAGTTACTCTATGTCAAGTAGCCAGCAGAGTTTCAAAGGAGTGAAGGTCTGCCATGCACTAAGGTCTGGGTCCTTAAACCTCACATGTCATCTCTGCTCTGAAGGAAGGAATTCCTCTGAGACCAGCTCTTGCTGACTAATCTAGATATAAAGTGTAACTCGTGAGTGTTTTGGTAGTTGTCCTGGATCCCTTTTCAGTTGAAGGTGTTTTGATTACCGGAGGGAATAGAAAAATGACCGATATGTATATAACTGATAGAACCTTAGAGAACATTTGGGTTTACATTGCCTGACTAGACAATACAGGAACTAGGAAATTGAGAAAGCTCCAAACTAAGTCCCTAATACCCATTGTGAGCAAAGTTTATTTAAGGAGAAAGGTGGGGGGGGCTAAAAAAAGAGTTCCACCCCCAGAACATTTGCCATTTCCTGGCAAGTTCAGCTTCCCAGGGTTGGGAGAACATTATCGGGAGAAAGATAAATTGCTGCTAATCATTTTGCCCTTTAATTGGTAGGAGTTAGCCCTTGACTCAGTCTTCTTCTTGAGAGGTTTTGGAACTTCTGCCTCACAAGAATTTTAACATATTGGTTAATAGTCAATATACTTGAGTTCAAATCCCAGCTCTGACATTTAATGATTTTGAGCCCTTATTTAACTTTTTAGTGCTTAATTTCTGTCATCTATAAAAGGAGAATAAAAATAAATGAGTTAACACTTTACACCCATTAGATGGCTACTACTTTTTAAAAAACAAAGTAAGTGTTGGCGAGGATGTGGAGAAAATGGAACTTTTGTGCACTCTTGGTGGGAATGTAAAATGGTATAGGTACTGTGGAAAACAGTATGGTAGTTACTCCAAAAATTAAAAATAGAATTATATGATCCAGCATTTCCACATCTGGGTATATATGTAACAGTGGAATATTATAACAGGGAATTATAACCCACACCGCCATTCTGTTGACATTGTTGCTGTAAGTGCTGACTCTGACTAATATGTAGCTTGTAGATGAACAGCATGTTTGTATAAGAGTCCTAGGAACTAACTTCAGAAGATACAGATTGTGAACTTCAGGCACCTCAGCTCTGGGAGATTTGCTGACCTTGGCCATGGAGCCAGGATGACATGAAGCTGGGATAACTAAACCGGAATGATGCACACGGGACCATCACCCCCCTCATGGGAAAGGACTGTGCTCGTCTGCACACAGAGCACTTTCAACCCCCACCGTCGATCTCTTTGTTCTTCTGTTCCCCTTGCTCTTCTTTTAAAAACCTCTGCCTCCACTGAGAGGTGGAGACGGGCTTTGAGAAGTGAGTCCCCAGTCTTCCCAGGAGATGGGCTTTGTGACATGAGTCCCCCATCTTCCAGGTGGCAGGCACCTGAAACTAAACATCAGCACCTGCCTCTCAAGTATTGGCTTTCACAGCGGCAAGCAGCCAGACCTGCATTCAGTTACACATACTCAGATGAACTGAAATCAGGGCCTTGAAGAGATATGTATTCATACACCAATGTTCATAGCAGCACTATTCACAATACCCAAGAAGTGGAAGTAAACCAAGTGTTTGTTGACAGATGAATGGATAAACAAAATATGGTGCATATATATATGTGTGTGTGTATATATATATATATATATAATTAAATATTATTCAGCCTTAAAAAAGGACATTCTAATAGATACCATAGCATGCAGGAACCTTGAGGACATTACGCTAAGTGACATTAGCTAATCACAAAAAGAGAAATACTGTGTGCGATACAGTGACTTCTAAGAAATATGCATTTTTCATTTATATTCGCCTTCACCACAATTCTTGGCTCATAGCTCAGGAAATCCTTGGGATTTCCCCAGGCTTGAAAGTGATAAAGGTGTCTTTTGTTTTGTGAATGAGGTGGCTTTTGGAAAGCACTAAAGGATGAGGAGTGGTGGCCAGTGGAGGCAGCCCAGTGATTATAGGGTGGGAACATTCAGTCCCACCCCTGACCTCCTGGGATGGGAAGGGGCTGGAGATTGAATTCAGTCACCAGCAGCCAATGATTTAATCAGTTTTGCTCACCCAGTGAAATCTCCATAAAGACCCAAGAGGGTGTTGGGAGAGCTTCCAAGTTGGGGAGCCAGAAGGCTTCCCTGTGCTACAGTGACGCACCCCACACTCCATGAAGACAGAAGCTCCTTTGTTTGGATTCCTCGCCCTATGTATCTCTCCATCTGGCTCCTTATTTGTATTCTTTAATATTCTTTGTAGAAAAATCAGTAATGTAGTGAATAAACAGATTTCTCTTGAGTTCTGAGCCATTCTAGGAAATTAACTGAACCCAAGTAAGGGTCATCAGAACCTCTAATCTGTAGCCACTCGGTCTAATACTGTGACTCAGGGAGAAGCACAGGTAACCTGGGTTGTGTCTCGCATCTGAAGTGTGTGTGTTCCTTAGCATGTGGAATCTGATGCTGTCTCTGAGTAGATAGTGTCAGAATTGAGTTGAATTCTTTGTTACCCTGCTAGCGTCTGAGAACTGCTTGTTGGTATGGGGTAACCAACCCCCACATCGGAACTGGGTCCAGGAACTCTATTTACTGTGTGATTACATTTATACGAAGTACTTAGAGTAGTCAAAATAATAGAGACGGAAAGCAGATTGATGGTTGCTAGGGGCTGGGGGCAGGGGAGAATGGAGAATTATTTAATGGGCATAGGCTTTCAGTTTTCCAAAAGGAAGAGAGTTCGGGGATAGATGGTGGTGATGGCAGCAACTATGGAAGGTCCATGTCGTACCGGGTATCTTGGTACTTGGTCAATAGGTCACAGCTCCCACTTATCTACTAGGGCAAAGTCCAGGATAAAAGAAGTGCATGTTATAGTCCTGTGGCTCTATTAACTGATAAGGAAACTCAAGGTAGCAGTGTGTGAATTACTTCATCCTGAAGCTGTTATGATTGTTATACACCTTCAGTATCAAAGTAGAGATGATAATAGTCCCTGTTTTCTAACTGAAGCCACTCTAATCCTCTTTTGCCATTCTGTGATGAAACTATTTATGGGAAATGCATTAGGCTAGACAGCCTTTGAAATCAAGGGTGTAGAAATTTGAGACAATTACTGTATCAGCCATCTATTGCTTGTAACAAATTACCCCAAAACTTGTTGGTTTAAAATAACAACTATGTATTCTCTTACACTTTCTGAGGGGCTGCAATCTTGGCCAAGTACCTGGCTTAGGATCTTTTGTGAGGTTGCAGTCAAGATGCCCCCTGGGGCTGTATGGCCATTGAAAGCTCAACTCGGACGAAGGACCTGCTTGCAAAACTCACTCAGGATGGCTAATGGCCGGAGGCTTCAGTTCCTCACCGCACAGGCCTTTCCACTGGGTTGCTCATGACATGGCAACTCACTGCCAGAGCAAGTGACACAAGAATGAAAGAGAGGGGCCAAGCTAGAAGTCACAGTGTGTTTTATAACCTGAGTTTGGAAGTGACACATCCATTGCCTCTGTCATATACTGTTGATCACGCAGACCAGCCTTCATATAGTGTGGAAGGGGACTACTGAACAGAATACCATAGACCGGGGGTCTTATATACAACAGAATTTTATGCTTTACAATTGCGGAGGCTAGGAAGTCCATAGTCAAGGTGCCAGGATGATGGGACTCTGGTGGGCCTGAAAGTTGGGCGGGTGGAGCCTCTAGGAATCACGAGGGAGAGGCACACAGCGTGGGCCAGGGCCAGACACGGCGCCTGCCTGCTGGCTCTGATGGGAGTGGGCTAAAGAAAAGAGAAATGGCCTCTGCCAGCACTTCTGTCGGGGAGAAAGCTGCCTCCCAGCTCTTGCCCTGGTGCCAGACACTTTAGTTTCTCCTGTATGCCTCTGGTGCCTTTGAAGATAAAGCTAAATTTATCTCTAAATGTAAAGGTCAAATTGGCTTTATTCAATGATTCTCGAATCAGGCGGCATCCCATCTAGAGAACAGAAAGGAGCACCAAAGAGCTACACAAAAGGAAAGGCATTTAAAGGCAGGGGGACATGGGATACGGAAGTCCTCAAGAAAAAGATGGATTGTTTCTGGCAAGGTCACCTTCCTT